CGGTTGATAAACTACAAGTGAGGCCTAAATTGTTGACTATTTCGCGTAGTGATGCATGTCGTTTTTCGCTAGCTTCATGTATTAGTAAATCCTTTTCGTGAACGTAGTAAGTTTTCACTTTCTGGTTCGTTTATATTTGTTTAGAAAGTGGCGTACCGTTGTAGGGTCGCGTCCGAGTATTTTTGCGATTTGAGCATCATTTGTGGTGTCCATGTACGCCAAAATCTTCCCCGTTTTCAATTTCGTTAAGCTGCATATAGGTGGACACCATTTTTTAACCTAACGAAAGTATAGTGTTGACGAAGTGGCAAAAGATAATAGAGTGATGTTTATTATCAAAAACTTGATAAAAAAATGGTATATCAAAACATGTATTCATTAGCACGTACATGTACAGTATATAGAATTGAATTACAATCATTATTAAAAAAAATTAATCATGATGGTAGCATTGTCTAGCGGAAATAAAGATATCGATGATCTAAAAGAATGTAACCAAATTAATAAAGGACATAAAAAATATTCGAATGGATTCCTTTTGAAGATTTCAAAAAGAAGGTTTTTGGGACAGGTTATAAAGCAACCTGGTTGGATGAACCATTGATTCAGTATTGGAATCGTGAAGAAACACATTTAAATGAATTGGAGAATTCAAAATTGTGTTGAAAACATTTCACAATCCAAAACAAATTACTTAGAAGTTTAAAAAATGAGAAAAATAAATATTTCTAAAGTGAAAGCTTCTTTTTGTTATACATCAAGTTTTTAAAAATAGATTCAAGCTGCTTTAAAGTGCTGCACTTAAGCTATCACGGAATAATTGTTATAAATGAATATTTGAGTTATGCAAAAAGATGGTGATCTCCATGAATATACATGTATTACGAAAGATTAAGAATAATCAAAGATCTAATAGAAATTCACAAAGAAAAGTACATCAATACTTACACTCTGGAAATATATTAATGCACGATATTGCTCAAATTGCTGATTTGGATTTACCATTCCAGACAATCTAGCCATATATGAGTCCAGAGGTTTTAAATGGAAAAGTCATACACTAACGCTGCAGATATTTATAGCTTTGGCATGGCTATGTTCGAAATTGTAACATTGTGAAAGACTGTTTGGTGAGCGAAGTCATGATATATGTCTTGAAATAGAATCTATAACGACCTACGATATCAAATAATATTCCCGCATGGTGCAAAGATATTATTAAAAATGTTCCTATTCCAGAAAACTGATGAAATTTTCTACCTATTCACTATTCTATTTTGGACATGAACTTTTCTACGATCTTGAACATGACATTAAGAATACTGAATAATCTATATTTCCAATGCTACAGCGCTTTAGCAGATGAGTGTCTTAAATTAAAACATAAGAAAATAAAAGAGGAGATAAAATTGCAAAAAAGCATTCCCACGAATATAAACAAAAACAAGTTCACCTAAATGCAATTTACATAAGTCGAAATTTTTATTAAAAAATTAATTTACAATTCAGACAGGTAAATAGATTATATTAACCTTTCAAATTAATTGAGAATTTATATGAATATATATATATATTACTGCTATTTTTTATTAGAATTTTAAGTTTATATTTTTTTATGTAACTCTAGAAGATTTAACCACTAATAGTATATTCCAAATAATCCGATGAAATAATCATTATATATATACTACTGCTACTTTTTTTATTGAAATATTAAGTCTATATATTTTTTTATGTAACTCTAGAATATTTAACTACTGAACATGATATAGATATCGATAATCTAAATCGAAGCAAATGAAGGTAAAATTCATCAGTTTACCAAATAATAATTATTAATCGCGTTTATATTACCTAACGAAGACGGCGACGATAACAATTAAAAATCTAAATCCAAAGATCATAAAACGAATAATAAACGTCCTATTTGAAAACAAGTCGAATGAGCAAGATAAATGAATAAAGATTTGATTGGATCAGTAATAATTTGAATAGGTAACTTTTTAATTTCATAATTAAAAGATGGAATTTCTCATTAATGCTAATATAAATCTTAACGACATCATTATGAAAAATTTGAAATTTTTATTGATTTCCATTTGCATGTAATACATTAATACGCACGCATTTGTCATCGTTATCAATTGCTAATTGCAGCAGCTAAGAATATACCGAATTTTAGCAAAATGCGCCCATGCGTTATTTCGAATCACAGCCCGTAATAAGCTTAATTTCAAAACAAATTTGAAATTATACCCTGCGCATTATTCGCGAAAATACGGTAATTTTGACTTTAACCAGATGTTGTGGAGTACATTAGTTAAAAACATGTAAATAGTGCAAAATCATGTGACTTGTCCCATTTCAAAAAACAAGTTCGTCGCTGCAACTGTGTCGCAAACACCTGTATCCAATAACGATCTGTATGATCGATGATTGGTATAAGAACGATGTGTCCCCGAACACCAAAGATCACCTTATCTTATAGAACTAATCATTTTTTCCCGATATAATATAAATTTGGCGTAACACGTAACAATATCGATATCGAATATCTCGTAAAATGGCAGGTAGGCATACATACAAAAATACAATCACGTATTAATGATTCACAGATTCTCAGCTAGAAATTCTTTTTAGATGCCGCATATTTATTTATAGTATGAATTTTATTTAATCAAAAACTCAATCATATAGAAAGCCATAATCATATCAGTATATCCAATATTGGAACTCTTGTCCAATCTTATAAGCAGCTTTATACACGTTTATGCGTAAAACCAACGGCAAATTGTTAAATAATTTTTATACAAATTTTTCATAATAAATATTAATTTATTCTATAATTACAGTTGCATAGGATGCAAAATGCATTTGTAATTATGACGGAGGCAATGTTATATTATATCAAAAAGATATGCTTATCATTACACATTTTTAATGACATTTTTATATGCGTGATACCTTTCGAGATAATGCGACTTCATCACAATCCATAATACCTTATAATTAATTTACAAAAAGCTTACCTTTAAATAAAGTTTGAAATTTATGTAAGTGAACGGACCAAATCTATTCACGATAGTTCACGTAATCTTTGTGATACGAAAGTCATTACAATTACTCTTATTAAGTGTTACATCACATTAGCGAAAGTTTGTTAGAAATCTTGTTCTTATGACCATTATTCAGAACTGAGAGTATACATCATTGCTAGAATGTAATCTATTTTGTAAGAAAAGTAAAGAAAAGAATAAAATTTAAAAGCTTAAAGAAGAATTAGTAATAGCAGAATAATAAAGGTAAACTAGTTAGGCACCCAATACTGGGTGTAAGTTTTTATAAGAATTTTACGAAATTTTATGAAATAAGTTGCCTGTTAATTAAATTTGAGGTATTGGAATCTATCTAAAACGAAATTTTTATATTTAAGTGAAGAGAATTTTCAATTGGTACACTTTAATGTTTCTGGCCCGTGATAAGGTTGGTCAAACTAAAAAAAGATAAATAAGAGATTTATATTGGTCGATTTTCATTTATATATTGAACGAATCTGATTTTTATTATGGATGTTTTTCTGAATATTATTAAATGTTTTCGTTTGAAAATATATTTCATCTAAATCTAATACTTTAAGTTATTGTGAGACAAGTTCACATGTGTCCGCAAAGGAATAATAAATAATTACAAATTACATTATGCATACACATTTTAGTGAACCTCATCGTTAATTTCATGGGGCTTCAGGATTACACAACAGAAATTAAAATTTATGTTTGCACAATAAAAATAATACATAAAAATACAAAACGTTAAGCTTCAATGAAACGCCTCAAAAAAAGGACAATTGGTGAATCATTAATTTCTGTAACAAAACAATGGTTCATTTCTGTGTACAGCATACGCACTTTTTTGCAATATAAACAATCATCACCGTGGTTTATTTGTTGCGGGAATATCACATTATTGATATTTGACCAAAAACTAGGCCAATTGCAGATCTTTCTCGGTCAAGATCGATTATCGTTATTGATTATTATTGTCGTTATCCATAAATTCTGGATATATTAAAAGATTTATCTTGTTAACTGATGAAATGGGTATTACGCCTAGTAAATCAAGACGCGGCTCTAATAATTCTACTACTAGTGATGATGACGGTGCCGAAGGTGATCCGTTTATTCAACAGGGACAATCCTATATTGAAAAGAGCCAAGAACAGCAACACTTTCTACGTGCTATATGGGATGGAAATTTTGTATCGCCTGTTCGAGAACCACTTTCCGCTGGGGGTGCTAAAGTACTTGATGTTTGGTCAGTTTCTATTAGACAAAAAATTATTATTTATTTCAACAAAAAACATAGATTTACATTTACTCTATATCAAAACAAAGCTGTGGATCGGGTGTGTGGCTTTGTGATAACGCCACGGATTTCCAAAATTCCAAATTTGTGGGTATCGATATCGTGCAAAGACTTCCAAACGAGCGGCCACGGAACGTAGAATTTATAGTGGCTGATGCTTTACAAAGGTTCCCTTTCGACGACGACTGTTTCGACTTCGTCTATTTGCAATTCGTGACGTTGTGGTTCACTGAACAACAGTTAATTGAAACTATTTTGCCAGAATGTGTACGAGTCCTGAAACCAGGTGGTTGGTTTGAATTAAGTGATTGTGACGCGCACTTATACACAAAAGGTCAATTAGGGACAATATTAAATATATATTGTAAGTTATTCATGACTCTATTCATGTATCTATCTTTTTCCGTTATTAATGTTTATTTTTTTATTATATATAGTTGCTCAACAGCTGAAAAAAAGAAATTTCAATGCTTTTGTAGGAAATCACCTAGAATTCTTTTTACAAAACACCGGTAAGGTACAAAAAATTCAGAAAAGAGAACTGGAATTAACTATTCCTAATCTCAATGTATTCGGAAATGGAATGGGTGATATCGCGTGTAAAATGTTTGCACAGATAGGAATAAATAGTGGAATTGAGTTGGGTGTACTAAAAGAATCAGATGCGGAGAAAATTACGGTGGATTCTATGCGAGAGGCACACGAAAGGCGAGCATATTTCAAATTTTATAGAGTGATTGCAGAAAAAATTTCCAGTTGAAAATGGAGATATGGAATTAAATTTTTTAGAGTGATTGTCGAAAAAATTTACAGTTGAAAAGGGGTTTGGAATTAAATTTTTTAGAGTGATTGTCGAAAAAATCTCAGTAAAAGGGAATATGGGATTAACAAAAAATATGATACTTGTATTTCTGTAATTATAAGCCTTTCTTTTTTATGTTACATAAATTCTTTAAGTTTAAAGTTAATGAATCCTTTTCTAAATTTCGTGTAAATTTACTTGTGCATAATTAGTAATTTAATATAGTGTAATGTATGACTTTAACTTTTGTAAAAATGAAAGATATTTCTCTGGTATATGTATTATATACAGCAAATTAACAATAAGATGTTTCTATGACAATACATTAATAATTTATTCATGCATTGTGTGTAAATAACTGCAATGAAGTATATGTATATTGTATATAGGATGGGTAACTTAACAATAAGATATTTCCATAACATTATATTAATAAGTTATTTATGTATTATGTATAAATAATTATAATGAAATATATATATATTATATGAAGTTAATAAGAAATAAGAAATTGGTAAATTTTAATTTGGTAAGTTTTAGCATTTTATGTTATAGTTTTATAATTAATTTGTGTAAAAAAAAAGCTTTAATTTAGAAATTATTATATAAATTATCAAATAAAATGATTAGCATATCTACTCTATTAATTAGATATAAAAAATTCATTTTTGAAAATTGATTATATAAATATGATCTGGTATAAAGAGATTCATATCTTGATATAAAAGATTATAATATTATAATATCAAATATATATATAATAAATCAAATAAATTTATTTTTATATAGCAAAAAGATAATATATAAATATATATTTTTCATATTTTTATTAATTTTTAATGAATTATTTTTATATTAAATATAATAAAATATTAATAATAAATAATAAAAAATAAATAGTAATTAATATTTATTGATACTTTTCCAAAATTATCTTTATAGATAATTAAAACAATATATAATATTATATAAGCAAATTATTTTAATTTTGATATTGTTAAGAATATAATTAGAATAGTATTATCTGACTAGAAATATCATAATAATAAGATATTTACATTTTATTAAAATCTTGAATTATCCAAAGTTAGATAAAAATAACAAGTTATTCTTACAAATATATACATATCAAGTGATAACTTTTCTAAATATTATAGAATTTAGAATATTATTATAGTTAAGAATAAAAAAATATTTTTTATAAGTTATTAGTATTATATATTATATAAATAAAATTAATTTTTTCAACATTTAAACAAATAATATTACTTTTTATTACTATTATTTTCATTATTGATTTGTTAATATAGAAAGTAATAATAATATTTTATGATTTTTTTTATAGATATATTATTATTTGTATTATATATTATAAAATTTATATAAATTTCTTATCAAAATATTAGTTTGATATTAGAATGTAATTTATAACTAGTAATTTTTAGAATATTATTATTTTTCAAAATAATAATAATAATAAATTATATAAAAAGCTTATAAACTTAATTTATATTTGAAATTTATAATTAAATCATCTGAAACTTGAGAATAAAAAAGATATAATATTAAAAATAAATAATATTCTTAATATTATTAAAAATATTAATATTATTTCTAATCAAACAGATTATTATAAAAATTTTAATATTAAAATTTTTGAAAATTCTTTTATAAAACTTTGTAAAATAATATATAAAATATATAATTTAGTAACTATTTATATAGATAAAATATATTATTATAAATGATATATTAAAAATATATTAATATCAAATATTAAAAAAAAATAATTAATTAAATAATATAAGTTTATTTATTTATAGTTATAAATAAAATAAAATATAAAATAAATAGTTTTAATTTATAAATACTTATAATTTTATTATTTAAATAGTATTTAGATTTAAGATAAAATTACAAAATAGAAGTAATATATTTATATAAAATAAAATAAATATAAAATAAATTATTAATTTTAAATATATATATATTAAATATAATTAATTAATTTAATTATATCTTCAAAAAGTAACAAATTATAATTTAATAAATTAATAATAATTATAAATAATATAAATAATAATAAATAAGAATATAAAAAAATAATTAAAAAAATCTAATTAAAAATATTAATTAGCTAAATTAATAATTAGAAAATATTATTATTGTAGTAACATAAAATTCTCTAATTTCATAATCTTTTTTTGGCTATATAAAATTCTATTTTTCTATAATTTTATAATTTATCATATGATTACCCTTATTTTTATCTAATCATATATTTATTTTACTTATTATATTTATCTTCTATATTTTTATTTATATTCTAAAATATTTTATTTTATTTTCTAAATTAGATATCAATATTTTTAATTATTCATACTATATTAAGATTATATTCTTGTGAAATAATAATATTTATATTTTTATAAAATGATAATATTTATATTCTTGTAAAATAATAATATTTATATTCTCATGAAATGATAATATTTATATTTTTATAAAATAATAATATTTATATTATTATAAAATAATAATATTTAAATTCTAAAATAATTAGATTATAGATTTTTATAATTAAAATATTTCAATTCTAAAATATATATTTTGATAGTATTAACTAGTAATACTATAATAACTTATATATTTGAAAAATATATAAAAGAATCTGCTATCTTAGCTTGAAATAAACAGTTTTAAATTGAATTATTTGGAAAATATAATTAAAAAATTTATTGTTATAATAATAGTAATCTCTTGATTTCTTTTTTAATTATACTAATACTCTTTCTCTCACTTAATTTTATTTCTTTAACTATATTGATGCAGATATTTGTAAGGAATGAGAAGCAACTGCTGAAATAACTGATGATGTGTATTCATCTTCAGTATCAGTATCATCAAAGTTCATCATTGTTAACTCACAAATTTGAAGTCGAGTGCAGGATCAAATGAAGAAAGAAGAGAAGACAGCATTTGGTTTATGGTATTTTGATCTATAACATTAGTGTTAATAGCATTTTTGGTTTGTGATGATTTCATTTTGATTAAGAAAATTTAGTTTGTAGTAATTTCATTTTGGTTCATAGCATTTCGGTTTATGATGATAGTTTCATTTTGGTTTGTGATGGTTTGGTTATCGTTATCGTTATGTACAATTTGTGTGTTGACGTAGTTGGTTCTTGATATGAAAAATTGGTCTCTATATTCTGAAATTTTTTATAGGGTCATAAGAATAAAAGGCATAACTTGATGCTTTTTTTAACGTTTATTCATATCGTTATTATTTAACGTACGTAATTGTGTATTGGTGTTCAAGTTGGTTTATCGTTATCATTATCGTTATCGTTATACGTACAATTATACAATTAAAGAATTCTTATTTAGCAATAATATCTATATCAAGAAATCTTTAACCGGTTAATCGGTTAACGGCGGTTAACCGGTTAAGGGTTAACCGGTTAGAATCACTACACGCAGTGCGGTGATTGACAAATGTGTACTAAACGGATCGTTCAACGAGGTACAACGTGAAATTGCCGATTTATCTTCACGTGTTAACACGTTGTCTATATGACAGAAACAAATGCCCTTATAATAAAAGTTCAGTGTTTATTACAGAGTGGAAAAAAACGTTCGCAAACGTTTGGCACTATGCAATGCAATTAGACAACCTGGAACATATATGTACGCCTCCTTTTCTTAAAATAGAACTTAATAATTTCTTTCTGGCAACTGAGCAAGGAAGGGAATGACAAATGGATGTAGACTCAGAATGCATACTCATTGGAAAGAATGCTATTCCGATTCCCAAAATTTCATTATAAATAAGACGTCTTTCAAGTACATGGTCACTCCAAACGTAACCTCACGCTCTACAATGAAGTATTCTACGATCGCCCGCAGTCTTAGTATCCTTGCAATATGTTTCCTACTAACCAACACGGTTGAAGGTAAAGCTCTCAAAAATACGTATTGCGTACGTTGGATCACTTTTCTGTTCTCATAACCTGATTTTACTTGGATTTGTGTAAATAGCATATCTCGTACATATATATGCCACCGATGACTCCTATTGGAACCCAATTGATACCTGTATACCATACGTAACAAATTGTGACGGCCATGGGACTAAGATATGCGACGGTCAAGAAGCAATCTGCGCTGGTGGCACATTATTGGATTGTGAGGTACCAGATGGCCAGTGGTCTTGTGCTCACGTGAAGAAAACCAACGTCGGCACTGGAGATGTGTACTATGCAACAGACAAAGCTTCGTGTTTTGCATACAAAGGTTATAACAACGGCGCTTGGGAATTTAATCAAGTAGATTGTACTTAATAGGAAGACTTTTGCTAGTTGACAACAGTAACACATTGTCACCTCTTTTGTACACTCAGTGAAGAAGATCTCTTTCGCTTTTGCTTACGACGTCCATTTTACCATCATATTTAGCAGGTACAGCATTTCATTATTTACACAGTTTTACGCTAACCAGATCTGTATTTAGTTAACATCTCATCACGAAATAGTGCTCAGTTTTTAAACATTTATGGTTTTATTTATAGTATACATGTATAATTTAATCATGAATTTGATGTAAATGTATAAGTTGACCCAAGACTGTTGTCGCATTTTTTTTGTTTTTGATAAGGTGGGATGCACTGAAAAGGGTGGGTAAATGCAAGTTGTCGCCATCATTTTACATGTTTTCAAGCTCTTAGACTCCTTTTCTGTATACTTGCCACCATGTCACAAGTTGTCACTCGATGTCACTGGTTGTTTATAGGTACTTGTGACAGAACTTGTGACGCTTGTTTGAGAGTTTTGAACCTTTTCATTTCTTTCCTGATTAGTTTTATATACCTATCACAAGTTACTTAAGTAAAATAGTAGAATTCTGAGAAAAAAATTAAAACTCTTTCTTATGATATATCTTTGATATATACTCAATGCATATACATTTATTATATATACACACACTTAATACCTATCTTTGATATAGATTATATACTGTATATGATATACATATAGAAAAAAAATAAAAAAAGGTGGAACTTGACAAATTAACCTAAGAAACTTGTGACATCTGTGACAGTTATCAAGAATAGTTTTTTTCAATCTCAGAGTTTCAAGCATCCACCTTTCTATCAATTTTCTTACTTGAGACAAACTTGTATCAACTTATGACACTTGATTAGACTATATCTGTATATTCGCTCACTATATATTTTTTCCAAGTGTCTCTGATTTTTGCACAATCTTCTCCCGCTTTTTTTGATAGTAATGATCTATATTTCAGTACTTACCTGAATATTTATCACATATTTCATATACAGCAATTTATGAGAGATTTTTTTGATTATAGTTAATTAGTAATTGAAAAACTCAAAAGAGGTGACTATAAAAAAAGGTAACTATAAAAAGATCTGACTGTATTTATTAATATAAAGTAAAAAATATATTATTAAATATATTTTTATCAAAGACAGTCACAGAGTGGCTGGTTTTTAGGTAATAATTCGAAATACCTTTAATGACAATTTTTTTGTAATTACTCCATATCAACATGATCATCATTAGAAAAATAATCTAAAGTAGCTAATTGAATAGAAGAATTCCATAAAAATATTTTAGGCGTGATGTTAATAAGATTATATTAAAAGTTAATAACTAATTTATCTCATTCAAAATACAGAAATTAATTTAATTATAAAAAACAAAACAGGAATCGAGGAACAACTCGAAAAGAAAATCACATTAGGATTCTCATATTAGTTCCCTGAAAAGTCGCATTAATAACATCATGCACATATTCAAGCGGTAACTTATCTAAACCCGTTCCAATTCTAGGCATACTCAAATTCCTGATGTTCATCTCCTCACACATAACTCTCAGTTCATTCAATACACGCTCGAAATTCGCCTTGGATGGTTTTTGAAAATATTTTTCCTTGGTAATAACGTAAAATATATATCGACCGCCACGTTCGAGGTACGCAATTTGCCCAACTTTTTTATTTTGTTCTTTTAGTTCTTGGAGACCTTGAACTTTCTTTTTAAAGATGTCCGCAATCCTTTTCCCATTCGAAGATCTTCGGAAATACAGTGTGCAAACGAATCTCCAGGTGGTGAGTCTGTTGAAAAGGTCTCCTTGAATTTAAAAGTGTTGGATGATTCCATTATCATTGTAAATTATGTGTGTGTGGGAATATCAATTTATACCAATAAATTTGAGTCATCTGATATCGATGAATTCATTAATATTGACTACTCAAAACTGGCAATATACAGTATGTTAATTGTCTAATTTATTTGCATTTAAAGCGAAATATCATTATAAAAATCAAAATGATAATTTTCTTTTTTAATACATGATAATGTACAGTCAAACCTGGATATAACAAACTTGGTTATTACAGTTATAGTAAATGTACCTGGATAAATCGAATCTACTAAATAATCCTCCATAAATTGAATTGTTCGAGATTTTTTTCTAACAGCTCGGCCCTTCGTTATATCCAGGTTGGTTGTATGGATGCTTATAACACTTAAACGGAGCACTTTGTGCTCTCATAGCATTTTAAATACTTTTTCTTCATTTATTATTCTATTTGATAGTAATGACTTAGTCTTATCCCTTGCGCAAGCCAATCATAGCGCCTTTTTGGATCCAATTGCAAATACATGTACATATACCAAGTAAATATCTGTTCTCATTCGTAAGGAATAGCATTGCGATTTAACGACACATATTTTTTGGACAAATCCATCTTCATCGAATTAAAGTTTTAACTAAAACGAGTTCAGATTGTATTGATTTGACGCAGAATTTGCTAATAAGAATATTCTATGCTAAAGTTTTAAATTACTGTTCTTAAATTAACTAAGATTGATATTCCGATATTTTTCATACATTTAATTCTTAAAAGGATTATAATGCATGAAACAAATACAGTCTCGATGTAAATAACAGTAATAAGCAAACGAAAATTTATATGATTAAATAATTAATTAGATTAGATAGTAGTTAGTAATTTTAAATTATAATGGCAAAGAATTTATCCATTTTATAAACATATACAATGAATTTTCGGGCTGGTAATACGGTACTTCATGACCAGCATTGTAAACACGAACAAATCGTAAGTTACTTGCTTCTTGGTAAGTTCCAGCTTTTTTACCACTCACGGACCATTCATGAGTTGGTGCTTTTCTGAATTGATCTGCATGACTCCAGTTTAAATTTAACGCCACATCATGACCTCCATACCTAAAAAGTATAGCAATAGCGAAAACAATAAATTTAGATCCAAGAGAGCAAAAATTTAGAAAGTGTCACTATACCAATTGCAAATAAAATCTAAGTCGCCGTGATATAACAAAATAGGAATATTTTTATCCAAAAGATATTCTATATGATTAGCGGTATTTGATATCCTATTAAAAAAAATTAGGAACCAATTACTATAATTTAAATAACTCAAATAATTAGTGATTTATATTTTATTCTTACACATCTCCACTATCCTGAAAAGCAAAATAAATCGGGTCTGAACAAACATCGAATTTTTCTTTCGCACCAATTTGCTTGATGATATCAGGCTGGTTCAAATAGTTCACATAGTCAGTTGGTGGATCGCTATATTCTTTGATATCGTAAATGCTTAGGTCAGTACCATATATGTATAATCTAATGATAGGATCGCACCATCGATGGTCAACAGCAGCACAATTTTTTTGTGATTTATAGCATGCTGTCACTATAAAAGACAAAAGCTAATAGTTAGAAAGAGAATGAATAAGAAGCACATTAATAACTAGTAAAATTCACATTGTGTCTGGCATTCTGGCGTTCTGTCTTTCATTTCTTGACAAGTATCACTATTTATATCTATATAATATTTAAATATTAATTTCGATATCGATAAGAAAAACTGCCAAATATGTAAAATGATTTCTATAACTTACCATTATCACAAGCAAAACTTGCATAAGTGGCACTATGCAATATCGATATGAATGTTATCACATGTACAATTTAAAATGCAAATGCAAGGCCAGATTGAACAACTACGCTACGCAAACAGCTTACTATTGAATTAGTGGATTAATCCATCCGTTTCCGATTCCGATTGTCTTTAAATTTATAATTGTACCGTTGCCTCTACCAGCAATTATTTGTTGATTATTATCGTATATAACTCTTGCTGATGTTGGAACTAGCGCAAATAAACATAATCAATGATCAATACTCTATAGAGCTAAATATTAAAATCTGAAATGCTTACCATAATGACCACCAAAGGATTCGCCAAAGAAATGTAAATCAAGTTTCGCATATTCTGGGAATTTTTTAAAGAAATTTTGCAAAAACACATATAATTTATCGGCCGCTTGTTGGGATGTGCTAACTTTTGAGCTATCGCCATCAGAAAATCCAACTCCAACAGGCTAAAAGCGTGAAAAAAACATCGGATAAATTAATTGATTGTCAAGCAGTATTTTAAAGAATAAACAATCGTTCAGACCTGATCAATAAATAACATATGAGAGACTTCATTCCAACTATTTGGATTCCACTGTGTTGATGCTCCTTTGTTAATAGTATTACATGGTCCCAGTTCTTGAAAAAGTCCAATCATTGATGAGCATCCTGGACCTCCATTGAGCCAAATAGTCAAAGGAATAGATTCTGAAGGGAGTGGGTTTTTCTTGTTCCGAGATTCAAAAAACCAAAAGAATATGTGTTCATCTGACGAAATGTCTAAATATCCTGAATACTATCCAAGCAAACGAATGAATTTAATATGAAGTTTATATATGCAGAAATTGTTTGAAAATGCTATACTTGTTTTACACTCGGATCACATAATTTACTTGAAACAATATCAAATACTCCAACTTCACTTATGTTTACAGGAACTTAACAAAAAAACGTTTATAAATTTTGACTTACAGTGGCGATCAAATGTTTTGCATCACCTGACCGGCAAACTTCACGATTCAATAATTTTTTAAGTAGATAATGAA